CAATGTGCGTTACCTTTGTTTTAATAGGTGGTTTGCCAATAACGCTTTCTTACTACATTACAAAAATTGTAATTGGAATCCCGTGCTAAAAGACAAGGCTTCGAAGCGTCTACCAAAATTATTGCCAGTTTCTCTTTATCTCTGTTTGCCGATGAGGAAATTTTCGCTGGGGATATCAATGACCGTACAATTCGATCATTGCATTAATATTGTACTCGCATTAGTCGTAAATTAGTATCACGTCATAAAGTGCTTCCATACTAAACGCCATTGTAACAACTACTGTTCTACACTGACCTATGACAGTAACACATTGGCCTAATTCCAATTAGTTCGTTTGATTACATATATATAAGTCTTCCACATTAAAAAAGTACAGAACTACTATTAGGCTGATTGTAATATAAACATCGTCAGTCATACTTAATCTAATCTAACGAATAATATATTAGTACAAAAATACAGAAGAAATACATCACGGATACTACCAATTACCAGCTTATTGAATACGGCGTTGTATTGTCGCATTTCTTTCCAGGGCAGGAATTACATTTGCCTGTAGTTTAAGTACATTTTTCTCTAAAACGGTGAACGTTTGGATATACAAACATTTACTTAATTTTCTTATTTTATTGTGTCTTAACACCTCCTGCTAGTTTGCTATTTATTTCAGAGATATCCTGTATATTTCGGTTTGTCCCTGTTTAACAATAATTTATTTTAAAAGGAACATACATTGTATTTATCAATTCGAGTTTGTTATTGGTATCCCTTTCAGCTTCTAGTCATGTTTTTTTAACTAATGTAGTTTTGTCATCAGTCAAGCTGTGTTCTCGATTATATCTAACAAATATGTATTGTTAAATACATGAAATATTTATTGTTTAACCAGAAATTAGCATAAACATGAACAAATGTATCAATAAGCGGGAAGGAGAGCTCACGCGATGCAGTAACGCGAATTGCTGAAGGTCTCTATATGACTTAATATCTACTGTTAGGACATAACACTTCTTTTTTCATACTTTTCATGCTTTATAATAATATAAAATGCAAAATACAATTCCTTAAGAAGTATTTTCTTAATCATCTATAAATTCAGCCGCTCAAGCCTCTTGTCTATTCCAGATGATCTACGAACACACGGTTGGGTATCTCTTTTACTCCTATTATGAGTACTTTTATTTTTATACATAACAGGATTATTTAGCATTAACCTTAGTACCTACGGTTAAAATTGCTATCACTATTGTTTTGAAAACTTTTAGTAACATTATCAGTTTGATCCGGAGAGCTATCAGATAGATGCAGAGTATTTTAACTATTTCAACGAAGATTAACATATCTTCCAGTCATGCAGACACTCACAATTAGTTTCACTTCTTCTAACATCTTTTATAGTCATATGAAGCACTCCATTCCTGTGCCTGGAAAAGTAGATGAATCAAGCTAAATGTTTTTAATTGGTCAGTGTGCTTTTTGATTATAATTTTGTTTTCGGTCTTAATATTGTATGATTGCACTTTATCGATCTGATTCCCAAGAGGTGTAGCAGTTTCCAAAAGAGAAGAACTTACCACGTAACCGGGTATGAGTATACCGCTCTTTCACAGGGAGTTCATTGGCGGCATGTATTCCGTTTGCCAACCGGTTTTTATTTATTTTTCAGCCTGGAAATACATAGTCTTGCTTGAGTGTAAATTGTTTACCCTGTTTTTCCTCTATTTGGACACAAAACGATAAAATAATTGTGTAAATAAGTGTAGGCTTTCACGGCCAGCGTTCAATTATTATTTGTTTTCGGTTTTTTTGACTGTTTCCCGACGTTTCGCCTACAACTGTGGCAGGTATTTGCAAGGATAGCACGTTGCTCTTCTCGGTCTGCGTAGTGCTGTTTGATGCGGCGGAAAGAGAGCGCCAATCAGGCGCGATTAGGATTTTAAGAAATTAAACAGAAGTGACAAAATACGTTATCAAATAGACCCGCAGCTATAACGGAGGAAGGTTTAAATAAAAATTTATTTATAGAAAAAGTATAAAATATATACACTGATATCCTAACTATGTACAGAAATACGTAAGCTGTAATATTACCGTTGCAAAGTGAGTCTGCCCCCAACAATGCTTTAAGAACGCGGTTTAATCAATTTTCAAAGAATGCTAAGAACTGTTTAATATAGAACTAACTACTGACTTAATCGGAAAACAAACGAGTTTCATTCCTACCAGCTGGAAATTCGACAGTCTGCTTTTAGGAATGATAAAAAAGAAGAAGTGAAAGATTATCTGCCCCATTATTGGCCTAATAACCCAAGGAAATCACAAAAATACTTCAGTGTTTTTTAAACTATAGTATATACCTCCAGGCAATGTAGCACGGTGTACCGCGTCATCGAAAAAAAAAACCTTTCAGATGTTTTATTTCCACCGGCTATTTAGTGATGAGGCAATCTCTGCGAACCACACTGTGGTGCAAACGCGAACGGCAAAGTAGGAGACTTTGTATAGTCTCCTTACAGGAATTTTAGGAATGGATGGGCGATGGTTGGTGAAAGAAATATGAGACTGACGGAATGTACACAGAAGAGAAGTGAAAGATTATATGTGGAAGGATCCAATGAAATCACAGTAAAAGTTAAAAGTAAAAGACCAAGCCAGACGGACACGGAATCGAACCAGGCTTCTTCCTAAACTAAGACTATAGGTCAAATATCTCTCCGAGGGACTGGATTACTATTTAGGGGTAGGAGCAGCGTTCGAGGATTTCTAGTGGTGCTGTCGTAAAAAATACTCGAGAGAGTAGTGGCACTACATAGTGTGGTAGGCACGAAATTAAAAATGGGATGTGTTACAATGATTGGTTTTTATTATAGTTATAATACAATAAGATCATGCTAATATTAGGTGTCATTTGGTAACGTGGGTGTAGTACAAGCAAATCTTTGAGTACAAATTACGACTGAGCAGTTACAAATGGATAGAATGTAAGCCAAACATTGCCAGTTCTCTAACGCCTAAAGTAAACATAAATAACAAGTTGCCGCTTATCAATCAACGAGTTATTGTTTTCGGAAACACCAGTAAACACATGGTCGCTTCAGTTTAATTTTGCCAGTTTTGGATTATAAAGTCAACATTGTAAATCCTTTAGTTTATTATTTTTTACTAGAACAATAGGTCCACTAATCCATATACTTACCTCAAGAAAAAGACACCTATATTCTTCTCGGCTAGTCGCAGGTAACGAACACTGCTATTTCATAAAATTTGTGCATCTTTCTCTATTTAAACAGTTTGTAGAGTGTGTCTCACTTTTATTACTACACTGCCAATTTCTTCATGAATCTTGAATATAACCTAAAACCGGCAAAATTAAACGGAAGCGACTATACACATGCACGTACACTACAAAAACTTTTAGAAGTTAGAACCGGACAAGCAGACAAGTTTCAAGACACCTATCAAATTTATTTCTCACTCGCGCAAAAACGTCAGATATTTTACGAATTTCATTTTCAGCGATCATCACACCGGCACCGTTTTGTATATCATTAACATTGTGATCTGGCGTTTGAGATGCGCGCTGTTTCATTTTGTTTTCGGACTACCGATGATGTGAACATCAACCTGCGAAAAAAATTGGCCTCTAAAGCACTTTTTTATCGAAACCATAGACACAAATCCAGTGACGCCCCATTGTCAGATGGAAGAAGTCAACGTTAGATTCTATTTCCCCCTTTACTACTTTGGGAGTTGTCTGTAAAGTCATGAAAAAAAATATATATTAAAACGTCCTTGTAATTTGGTAGCTCGAATTTTCCCTATTTCCATTTTTCTCTTTTCCCTCCTGACTGGCAATTTCCGAAATTTTTGCAGTGACAATTCAGCCATTTGCCTTGTTAAAAAGAGATGACGTCGCTTATAGTAATAACAACTGTTCTACACTTAGTGCCTATGACTGGTACTGGTAATTTACCATCTGATTGAATATATTTATGTGCGTGATTCATCTATACTCTCTCTCTCTCTCTACCTTTAAGTACGTTTTTCTTGAAAACGATGAATATTCGGACCTGCAAACATTTATATAATTTTCTTATTTTATAGTGCTCTATCTGCAAGCTCCACGTCTATTACAATTATTCCTGCATCTATACTGGGTACATTATAATGTATAGGTCTTTAAGAATGCCATTAATGTACTTACTGCACCCACGTCTGTAATTTCATAGGTTTGCAAAAAAGTTACCTTTAAACTGTACTTAGATTGAAAATGTTTGGAAATTTTGCAAAAGTTGATTAATCGCAGTTATGAAGAAATGCTTAAAATGGGGAATTAAAGTAAGGTTTATCAATAAACAAAAATTTGTATTGAAGAAAAACCTGTGCTAAGACTATATATTCTTTTGCAAATTTAATATATAAAGAATTAAAAACAAATAAGTAACTGCGATAGGTCTAATAGAGGTTGAGATTCCACATTTTCATAGTGACTCTTTCAGTTCATTGTTTGATAATTAGTTGAGGTTATGCTTATTGGAACAAAAAAAAATCGCATTTCATTTTGACGATCCCAATCATTAAAAACGATTGATAATGGTATGGAAAAATTGTGTGTATGCCGCGATTGTTGAGCGCTTTTATTAAGTAACGCGACGGCGAATGGGCGACTGCGTGAAAATAAAATGAAGTCATCATTTTTATCTATATGCATAAATGTGTAGTATTGTACGTACTTTTATCCAGGAAATCTGATATAATGCCTATTATATTGTTATCTCTTCTACGAGAATGAAAGATTGCAGGAGTTTCTTTCAAAAAGTATTTTTTTTAACATTCAGCGGTAACGATGTGACAAACAGGTATCTCGTCAAAGGCAGCTCAGAGAAAATATTTTGAAATGGCAATGTTGCTTTTTTTCCTATTTAAAACTTTTGCTTAGGTTAATCTTAGTTTTGAATGTGTGTTTTTTTATGTACCTAAACATTATTTTAAATCAGGTGACAACAAACCCATTTGGCAAGTGGCAGAAGAACGAGAAGAGAATAAAGCCCGCAACAGAGAAAACGCTCCTTATGGGGAATATGGAGGGTGGCATAAAGCTGCTAAGGTTGATTCTCCTACTGTTACAACAACCCTTAAAAATCTTGGAGCTTTGTACCGTCGACAAGGAAAATACGAAGCTGCTGAAACTTTAGAAGATTGTGCTCTTAGAAGCCGGAAAGAGGTAATAAATTAATATTTTACCAGCATAAACAGGATTTCTATTTCATCAAACTAAGGATTCTTGTAAAAATTGGCGTTATTTATTAATGAGGGCTTGTATGTATATTTCTATACTTGTTATATGCTATGATAAAAATATTAATCATACAGCATTCTAACTTATATGTGCTTGTAGCAAAAGTATTGTACTACTAGAAATACAAAAAAATTGTAAACAAAATGGAGTACCTTTTCTGAAGTCATCAGTTTAATTGTCAATGTCAGTAGAGTTATTTATTGAAATCGAATAATACCACTTTTGAAATATTTACTCCTAATGCTGTCGTAATTCCTACATTAATTATTGGAAGCCCATAAAATTACCATAAGATAGTTACTGAATTTTCACACAAAAACTCTCAAATCCATAAGCTTTGTAGTTATTAAGCTCTATTGATGCTGAACATGTTTCTAGAAATTTAACATATGCATGTGTGTGCAATTACGTTAAATACCTTAACTAATTGAACTTAAACATAAAACTGTTTATTTAACATGGTGCTCCGAAAATATTAAAAAAAAAGTATCAGCTTTTCAAGTTTAAACGTATTTAAAAAAAGAACTGCATTTATATGTATATGTATAACGTACATTCCACTTCAATTTTTTTGTATCCCTAATTAACAGTTACATTATTTATTTATTATATTCCATATTTCTATCATTTAGTTTTTGTTTAGGTGTGACTAATAGAAAATGTAATCTAACTCAAAATAGACTTGTATCAGATCTTATATCCTAACTTATATAATTTTTCACTTACCATTACCTTACCCATTGCCGAATTGGTCACTTAGAAAGATTTAGCATAGGGTATGAGCCTAACTTCCCAGAAGGGGGCGGGCTTGCTCCAATGCGCAAAAAAATATTTTCAGATAAAATAGATGTCATTCATGGTAGCAATAGCAAAAAAGAGTGCTGGTCACACAGTATATATTTTGCATATATTATGTTGCAAGTTGACAACACTGCAACCCCCTATATATTGTGTTCGAATTATTCGTGTAATCCGTTTATTTAGATTAGTTTTCTATCGATTAATAAGGAAAGTAATTATTGGAACAAAACAGTTGATGTTATAAGTCTACTGTTTTGGTCGTTTCTTTCACATTTAGTTTATTTTATTTTCTTTTGACTAAGCACTAAGATCTTGGACTTTAATTTTATAAACATTTACCAGAAAATTTATTAAAATCGTATTTCTCATATTAATCGTATTACACATTTATTTGAAATTGATGATCACCAACTACAGCGGACAACGGTCTTTTTCAACATTTATAAAGTTCGTTAAGAATAAGTGAAGAAACACATTAGGACAAGAACGTTTAAACGATCTCATTTTAATGAACATAAGGAAAAATTTTCTTGTTGTGTGCTGCTTTTTCTATATCCTAAACTTTAACATCAACGGCGTGCATCTGCTGCGTAACCCGCACTGCCTTACTCTACCTTACGGCACAATTTAGTCACTAATTTATCTAAACTGCCCATGGTGATGAGATCTAATAAGATTGAAATTGCTATCCGCATCTGACGATCTGGTTCGTTACTTATTACAGTTCTGTTTGATTATTTAAGTATTAAGTTTTGATAATAACGCTCTTCTGATTTCCAGATTTAATTATTTATTTAATTAAAATCTGTTTAATGAGAGAGACAGAAAATTGAACATTGATCTGATAAGTCGCTTCCTTTTAATTTTTTAGTTCTTTGTTTATTATTTACTGGTACCTAACGACCTAAATTATTTGTTTTTACCACTTCATGTAAATTTAATTTCTTTTTATTTGTGGCTTTCCCAACTGAAGTTACTGAACAATCATTATTTTAATTAATGTTACTGTTATAGTCCACGGGACAGAGTCGTTTCTTGTAAGTGATTAATACATACTTGGAACTTCGTGAGTGGCTTCCTTTTAGCGAGTTTACTCTCTTTCTGCGGCTTTCTTCGAAACTTCTGCGTTTTGAGTTTTACATCTTTGATAAATACGTATTCAGTTTTAATGTATTTTTTTGGACCGTGATTTTTTGTATCGTTTCTATGCATTTTTTCTTCGTTCTAAATATCGTTAGAATTAGTCTGTATAAATTAATTACCGCTGTTAAACGCATTGATGCCTCTTAGCGTTGGTACTATTTTTTTAACGTCGCCCTGTTACAACTCTCGCTATCGGATATCTGTTCCTTGTTCAGACGAAAATATTACAAATTATTATCTTTATTGATTAGGGTCCTTGTCGCAACTTTGAATATTTTGCGTCGGTCAGTGTTAAATTCCTAAATCTCCTTCCGTAACGTCACGTTTTTTTATTCACGTGGTTAATCTTTTCGCTATAATTGCTTCTAGATTTGAATTTGAACGCGCGGGAATCTAGTCGGCGGAGATAGTATTTAAACCGTGGAAACCCGAAATCGGGTCGTTCCGACGGTCACTTTTTACTACAGGTGTAAATAGTGCGGCTTCTATTGGGTGAATAGTTACCTATCGTATCGTTTTACTGTCTTGAGCACTAAGCTATTCAGTGTGAAAAGTTACCCCTATTGTATATTCATAGTGGATAAACTTAGATCGTATCGTTTTGCAGTTTTGTGAATCGATCACTAGTGCTCGTCATCTTCTACCCTTTACTATTGTTTTTGTTAAATAGATCCCCTACCGGTATTAGAATAAACAGCTTAGGGCCACGGTAGGCAAGGGCATCAGAAACACATTGTAAGATCATCTTTTGACTCGCAGAGTCATACAGAATTTAGTTACCCACTATTCGAACTTCTAGCTAAGCTAGTACCTTTGTAAAACTTTTTCTGTCTTAATGAACGAACCTTCAAGTATGTTGCATCGAAGGTTTATAAAAAAGGCAATTTATTTTATGTGTGAATCTCTACCAAGTGTGGACCTTCTTAAGTGTGCCCAGTGAATCTCTGCGTATAGCCAGCCAGCGCTCACAAGGCTCCACCATGTTTTCACCTACCTGGACCCGGACATCTTCGATACTGCGTACGCCGTCACTTTGGAGGAATACCTAGTGATACGCTCCCGGCGAGTCAACATTAGTGTTCGGTGTGTGACCGATCTTTCTAGGGTGAGTTCGAACCATTGCACCCTTGCGCCTTATTAACGTTTCCATTTATCTAATTGAATACAGTTGAATGCAGGCTTTTCTTTCTGGGTGGAGAGTTGCCTTCAGTTCTTTATATATTTTGTTCAATATCGACACCCGGTGGCGCCCATTTAACGTAATTGTATGTCCAATTGGCGTTCTATTTCCTTGTGTAATAATTAAGTATATTTAACTTGTTTTCATAATTATTTTGGATAGCTATCCACCAGTTCAATAAATATTTCCTATTAATTTTATATAATAATACTAAATAATATTATATAT